CCAGAAAATCTTTTTATTTTCCATTTAAAATACCAGATTTATCTCTATGCAGATCATTCTGGGAAAATTAAGAAACAATAGGAGAAAAAAAACCTAGCCGAGCTACAGATTTATTCATTACAGGGTGTAAATTTCTCTACTTTTTAAGTATAATTGTTTTTTTAATAAATATATCATAATTTGGCATATGGTTACTTTTTCAACAAAATTCAAACCAAATTGAAATGATTTGCAAAATTAAGAGTCGAAATGGAAAAATTGTGAGCAATAGGACATTTGGACTTGCGCTTAATTTGTAACTACGAACTAATTAAAGATTGTGAACAACGTGAGCTTTTGCATGCTATGCTCGATATAAAATTGTATATCATTTTAAAAGTTCAAATATATATGACCTAACATCGTTACTATTTACATTAATGTACTTGAGTAATAATTTAAGGGAGAAAAAATCGCGAAAGAGTTAGGGGGAGTCTGAACTAATTAGCATAGGAAGCGTAGTAAATTTTGGAGTGGAGTCCATTGAAATTGGGAATTTTAGTACTGAATTATAAAATAATTACTCTTACACATATTTAAAAGAGTTTATAATAACACCAAGCCTTAGTATGGTGAATAAATTAGCTAGTGTGATATAAAATCCAGCATATCAAGTAAGTCAATGAGTCTATAACACAAACTTTTAAGAAATAAAATCGGCTTCTACTAAAAAAAAATGGTAATCTTAGGACAAATTTATAGTTGGAACTTTCATGTAATTACAATGCGGCTTCAATTGAATTGCAAAAATTAATGTCATTACTTAATTGTACATATTAGAATAATTAGAATTTTGTTTTCTGTACATATTAGAATAATTAGAATTTTGTTTTCAAAAGAGAACAATTGTATACAAAGAAGCAATGTAGATAGAATGCAAGGCTAGCAATTAATATTTTTTTTTATATATATTTATTGATATATTCAGAGATTTTTATTCACGTTCCTATAGTAAAAAGCCACAACAAAAGCAAAGTTTCACAATAAATTTTTTATTGATATTCGTTCAATTTAAGCTTTTAGTAACAATTTTTAGCATCTGTATATTTGTAAGTGACAATAAATAAAGATATATGGTCACTTTATTTCTAATGTTGGATACAATCTTATACTATAGTGTTAATTTTGTATCTCATACAACAAATGTTACATAATTACAAATAATATTATCTAACATTCTTTGTAATGTAAAATTGACAGAATTTAATGTGCAACGCGCGTTTATAGATACTAGTTTATTAAAAAGAATATATGAGTGCATCTTTTTTAGAATTCTAGTGTACAATTTAGTGCAGTCAGGGGAGAATGAACGTGTGAGAGAGAGATCCCAATGAAAATTGAGATATGAGGAATTTTTTGATGTACTATCTTGTTTCAAATTGCCAAAACTTTACTGTAATATACAATGTTTTACAACTTTCCATGAGCTTCTCATATTCAACTCCATCAATTTCAGCAAACACCAAACAATCAACAAACACCACAGGTAAATTATTCAGGTCTTAAATCAGCAAGCTTCTTGCTTTCCACTCATGAGAAACTTTATGTTCTTACATTTCCTGTTTTCATAAATCATCAACCTTTTAAGACAAAAAAGGAGGCAAGTCTTTTTTCTGATTCTGCTAGAAACATTACAAAATTTTTAAGTTATATTTCTATGCACTTTTTCCTTTTTATAGATTATTCCTTTTGTTTCCATGTCTTGCAAGTTTCGATGAAACCAGATGTAGTAATAAAATAGCGCACTAAAGGATAAAGATGAGTAGTACAGTGAAAAAGTGAAGTATTTTCAACACCACTAGGTATCCTTGATGTTTGCGGTACTCGTTGATGACAACTGTTGGCATCAGGGACCTGATAAATATTAGCACATTATACTTTTATATGATTAAATTTTCATTATGAATGTCTAAACTTATAAAATCGAGTTACCTGTTCACTTGAGGTGCCATTGATATTTTGAGGCATAGATTTATTAGAAGCATATTTGCGCATGAATTGTCTCACTTGGATTAATTCTGATTCCATCTTCTCTTGATTCTTTTTCATCATATTCACTTCTTCATTGTGTTTATACTTTAACTCGGTTATCTCTTGTTCTAACCTTTGTACATCCTCATTAGACGAATCCTCCGCAACAATATTTCCTAAGGAAGATCTATTACCCCCAGAACAGAAGGAGTTGGACCAAGTCCTAAGCCACGAACATACTCACTTTTGTCATTTCCGAATACCTGGGAATACACATCGCCTTCACAAGCAACACTGCAAGGAGGTTGGTCAGTAGAGCTCTCACTATTGCTCATCCTTGCATTTATCATTTACTGATCATAAAATACACAATAAATCCAATTTGGAATTCATTTTTCCACTTTTAAGTTTTTTTCCTAACTATTTCACAATTTAGAAATTAAATGAAAAAAAATATGATTGCCTTGGCAGAATCATCATTCAGTGGTCTACCATCCTTACGTTTTTTATGAGTTAACAAGAAAATTTGTGCTCGTGTAGGCTCTATCCCATTTACAGCCTAATACAATAAAATTGATGTCAGATATGCGTGAAAAAAAGAATTTTAAAATATTATAGTTAATAAAATTTACATGCTTACCTGCTCATCCATCAAGGTAGCAAGACTTTTGGACCCTCCCGTGTGAGGCATCTTTTGATTGGCCCTATTGTTTCTATTGCTTGGGTACGCCTCTGTCATTAAAATATTAAAACGATATCTTATCAATTATAAATAAAAAATTGAGCATAACTAAAATCGAAACACTGAAAATAATCACTTAGGGGTATTTTAGAGATTTGCTGATACCTTAGCTTTATCCGAAAGTCAATAAGAGACAAGACCACTCCATTGATCCCTCGGAATGCGACTTGGTCTATTTTTCAGCAAAGCGTTTTTAGTCTTATATTTTCACATATACTCACCTTTTAATTCGCAATAGTGATCTTACCATTTCTTTCCTAGTGACTTTAAGACATAAGCTTCTCCCCGTCTTGGGATAGAGAACTTCTTTTGAAAACTAAAACCAACATTTAGAAGAAAACATCATTTATAAAAGATTGAGCTTGTTCCATACCCTCACAAAATCCACCAATTTCTTCTTTTCCTCCTTATAAAAATTTCTCCAATCATCTGCATGTAGAGGTGTTAGTTCTGGAAAGCTAACACCCTACTCCATACCCTCAGAAAGTCCACCAATTTCTTCTTTTCCTCCTTGTTAAAATTTCTCCAATCATCTGCATATAGCTTGGTTACGATTGTTAAACGGCACATCAACTATCTTCCCCGGAAGAAGTTTTCAAATACCTTTTAGTAAAATAGGACCAGGAACCTTTTTTTGGCTCTGAATTACCTAGAATGGAAGACTCAAAGGTTATTAAATGACAAAAACTTATATGGTTAAGCACCTGAGAGATGCTCTAAAATCTGTTACATATGATAAAACAATAGAAAGAAAAACTGGTATATGTTTCAACACTAAATATATGCCAACAGGTAAGTGTTTCTAAAAATGTGGAGATGTTGAAGATTCTTACATCGATGCATCATCAATGCCAACAGTTAATTTTTTGACATCAATGCATCAATTAAGATATTTTATAGTATATCTTGGTTTAGTTCTGATTAGTAGCAAAAGATCAAACAGAAGTACAAATGAAGCAAATCTTAGATTTAAGAATCTTACAAACAAATGAACAAAACTATAAAATGCAAGATATCGAATTAAGTGTATTAGTCCACAATCCTTGCTAAGATTTCTAGCTGTAAGGGTGCTATACATTAGTGCCTACTGAACTTATATTTCATGCTTGACAGTGATCAAGCTTGCATAATTATTGAAGATGTACTTATTGAGAAAAAGGAAAAACCAAGTGTAACATCCAGCTTTATCCAACTTGGATCTGTGTGGTGCTAACTTAGAGGAAATTAAAAGCTGCAGCTAACTTAATTTTAACAACCTTTACGCGTTAAGAACTTCTTTCATACTGAAGATAGTTTCAATTTGATGAGCTCCGACTTGAATAGAACATACTAAATGGAGAGAAATTCGTATAGCTCACTTCAACTAATTGTATTTTGCAGCGTAGTAAATTAATAATAACAGGGAAAATCGTTAAGTTATCCAAATTATTGCTCTACGTGTGAGATCGTGTTTACACTGAAAGTAACAAATAATGACAAACTTAAGATATCTCATCTTTGTCATTAGATTACTACTACTAGTTTATTTAGCAATGAGAAGAGCTGCAACTAGTAACTCAGGAACCACATTGTTACCTACGGCATATGGATCAGATTTGCAACTATAATGTCGTACATAAACTTGCTGGATAAAGGCAGTTAGAACTGCAGCCGTAATAGAAGTTTCAGATACTCTGACATCAGTGATAGGGTGATAGTTTATATGAGTCCACCAAACTATAGAAGGTCCAGGTCCTCTATGATTTTCTACTGAGAACGGTAATGAAACAGTAAGTAAATAAGGCAAGGAGTTTTATGTGAAAAAATCCCTGCTCAAGGGCATAAAAAAATCACGACCTACACTGGTAGGATTTCAACTTCACTATGAGCAACTTTTAGATTACAACTCATGCAATCTAGGAATTAAACTCTTAATCTCTCATTAACTTGTAATACACCTATTACAAGCCACTTTACAATACACCTATTACAAAGACTTCAACTCATGACTAACTCTAGTCACGACACAAACATTAAGGGTTTATAGTTTTACAAGGGAGTTCCTAAGCATCGCTTCTAGCTAAGCAAATTAGTAATTACAATGAAGAACAATTACAAAGTTACAACTCGACTAAGGACAATAAGATACTAGATTTAGGAACTGGTCTGTAGTAGTGTTAAACTTTGTTCTTGATACACTTGAGAATTGAATGCTCGGATATCAGATGGCTTGAATGCTTGAAGTGAATTCTCAAGTGTTCAAGTGATGTTCTGTTGTAATATTCTTGTTAATACAACTTGGATGATATCACTTGAATGATGTAATCACTTGGTTGGTCAAAGGACAAGTGACTGCAGAATTGCGCTGCACTGTTTCTATGTACAGTGCAGGCATTCACTTTTCAGCTGTACACAGTTGACTTTGTACTGCTGTCAGGGAAACACAAGGGATCAGGTCCCTGTGTTGGTTCTCTATCTTCTGAAGTTGTAGCAGTTCATATCAGCTGGAGTCCGTTGATTAGCAATGTGTACCAAGTGTGTCAGGTTCCCTATTTGGTTCTTTGATAGTAAGTTTGTTAGATCATCAAAACAATAAAGCTAAGACATTGGAAACCCATCATAGGGGATATGCAATTTACCACCAGAAGTGAGGAAATAAGATTTTCTTGTATGCAACATTGATATAGAAAGTACAAATTATGAACTCATCATATATTTTGCATGTGTAAAACAGCTTCAATCACAATACAATTCTAAGAACCCCAATTTGGAATGTGAAACAACTTCAATCACATTACCTCAACACAGCCACAACATTTAAAAATATCAAACATAAATCTATTAAAACTATCATTTTAACAATTAAAACTATCAAACAGTTAAACGATCTCTAGTTTCTTCAGTGGTTTTCATATATTTGATCATAAACTTTTTTAAGAATAGAATTATTAAACTTCTAAATTATAGTTCTTCTATGGGTTTCACATACTGCACCAGCATTTTGGAGCTTGCCTAAGCATAGGAAAGATTATTGCTGAGAAGGCTAAAAGAGTCTATACAACTAGAGATCAAAGAGATTCTACCTACTTGTGATTAGAATGCTGCAAAACCTAGGAGAAACATGAAAGATTGAGTGGGAAATGTTAAGTTAATGGGAATACTCTTACATTTGTTTCTGCTCGTTTTGAAGATAAGACTTTTCACAATATTCTACGGTAGAATAGAGTTGCGGCCAGCAGAACTCAAGACTTTTGAGAAGTTCTTGAGTTCCTGAAACAAGCAACACATTAAGTTAGACCAGAGTTCTTGCAAACATTGACAAATGGTTAAGATGGAAACAAGCCGCAAGCGGATATGAAACATAACTTAGGAACTTTTAATAGAATCTAAGATATCTTTCCTGTCCTCCAAACCAAATAAGAGTGCTTATAGTACATTCTATACATTTATATATCAATATCAATCAATATCCTATCAAAACAATATTAATATCAGTCAACCAAACACTCTTCAATCCTAACAAGAAAGTTGCGATTGGCTATATAATCTTCTGAAATCATTCTGCTCTATACAGGCCCGAAACTACTACTTTTTATATGTTATACATTTGAGAAAAGCTGAAGCAGTGTTATTGTATACAGTAATCACTAGCTGCACTTTTAAAGTGACAAACATTTTGCATGTACTATTCATAAGCTGGCATTAGCATGTTAACATAAATAGCCACTCAGCAATTCCAACTTCAACCCTCCAAAGGCCTACTTGATGCACATATCTGACACACTCTAATTTAAACATTTTCAACTCTCTTATCTCTAGAGCCTATTCTGATTCCTTTCCTTCCTTGCTTCAAGGCGGTTATATAATAATAACAAAAGGAGACAGATTATAAACAAAATGATACAATATGCCAACAGTATTCCACCTCCACATATCAATCAAATATTACATCTCATTCTCAAGCTTGTTGGGTCGGTTAAATGTTAGAAGTCCTACAACGGTTGTGTGGAGGATGATTGGTCTCCTTATAAGGTTTAGGCTCAACTCATGAGCTATTTTTTAATTAAGTTAGGCCAAATGTACATCGACGGCACTTAAAAAATTTATGAACAATCACAAGAATAAAAGTACCCTTACAAAGCATACAGGTCAAAATCAAATGACCAAAAATGATAATGGATAATACCTTGTTACTTGTTATATAAAATTAACAAGGACAACATCAACATTCAACATCATTAATTTTGAAAAGTTTTAGGAATCAATTAATATATAGGTTCTTTCGCTCTTCACTGTTTACTTCTGAAATGAGTTTGGAATATAAAGAAAAAATAAATACAAATAATTGGCAACTTTCCTTCTACATGAAAATTAACACTACAAGAAAAATATCAAATTGTTTATGAGAATGTGCATGTATCTATGTACCCAGAAATAGCAACTTACAATTTAACCAAAAAAGAAGATGCATCTGAAGGAGCACAAAGAAAACAAGAGAAATAACTAGAAACGATGATTACAATAATCAAGCACTAAAAAATTGCTTAATCCAATAATCCTCCCCTCTAATTCAACTCAATTCACATCAAATCACCAAAATCAAGAGCGTGAAAAACAAACAAAAAAATTATTTTACTCATTAGTGTCATAATTAAACCATGCATATAGAAACAGAGAGCAGAGGGAAACAACAAAAAGGATAAAAAAAAGGTTCTCAATTATCTCAACTGCACAAATTCTATAGAAAAATCAAGAAATCCAATTATCAAAATAACAAAAGATGAATATTGGATCAAACACAACCCAAACTCACCTTTCACTTCTTTTCTCGATCAAATCAAATTGGAAAAGAAAAAAAAAAGAAACCAAATGAATCAAAGACTAAAGAATGAATCACAAAGCTATTCTAGAATTGTGAAAAATTATACAAAACCTACGCCTACCAACCGATATATCTATGAACGCAAAAAAAAAAAAAAAAAAAAAAAAAAAAAAAAAAAAAAAAAAAAAAAAGAGCAACAACTGTGTAAAAAATCGAGCAGCACCAATAAATCAAACTTGCTAGGTAAGAAGAGAAGTTACCTGGGGAAGAAGATTATCTCTGCCGTAAATTTATTGTGTCTGCGTGATTTTGTTATATTGTGTCCGCTTGATTTTGTTTCTAGCCGTCTTCCCTTTCCCGTTCGATGAAGGGAATAGGTTTTGTTAGGTCTGAATCTTAATCATTACATTAGGTGCATTTATTTTAAAGTCTAAATCTTAGTTATTCAGATTTTAATCATTAAGTGTGTTTGTTTTTTTTACTTCACAACCACTTAATAGGTCTGAATAGGTCTGTATGATTAAGATTTATAAACAGAGACTTAATTTCATTAAGATGCTATCACATATTCGTTATTAACTGCGCCACCGCCTACCATTATCAACTACCATGCCACCACCATACTCAACCACCACCCCCAGCCCCACCGCCACCACCACCCCCACCACCACCACGCCACCATCATCCTCAATCATAGCCGCCACCATTATCGACCATCACCACCTACTATCCTCACCACTCCGACCATCATCATTCTCACCCACAATCAACACTCATCCACCTCAACTACCACAACTGACCACCCATCACCATCAACAACCATAACCGACACTGCCCATCATTATAACCTACCACCACCCACCCACCACCTACCTTAGTCACAACTACTACCACCACCCGCCATTATTAACTATAACCACCCACCACCACCATCCTCAATCATAATTGCCACCACTATCAATCACTACTAGCTACTAGCATGAACCACCATCATCAACCAAAACTACCACCAACCACCGCCTCTAGTCGCCATTCACCCATTAGCCATCACCACCAGCAACTAACGTATTTTAAATAACTATATATTTTATTGAAAGAATATTAGATTAGTTAGTATTTCATTTGAATTTTATGTTTATTAATTTTCAAATAAAGATAAATTTTATACATTTAGATGTTAAAAATCAAACAGTGTTAATTATTTCTATTCAGATCTTAATACACATCTTAATATATTCAGATGTGTATTCAGATTCAGATGTCTTAATCTTAATATACATCTTAATATTCAGATGTGTATTCAGATTCAGACTTTCAGCGCTTTACTGTTGTTGTGATTTACACTTGTTTAAATCGAAAGGACTAACCGTTTTGTGCAGGATGTCTCCGTATTAGTTGACTAAGTCTAAACTATCCTATCCATAAAACAGATACTTGTTAGAGTAGTTGAACTGTGAATCAAGTTAGAAATCATGTTTAGGCTATGTGCTTATTCGATTGAGATCTAATGAGGTTATCTCTGTTGTTTTTAGTTATCTGCTTTAATTGTAATTATATACTCAGTCATGATTCTTAATTTGCATATCATATCTCAGTCTCTGCTATTATTATTTGGACAGGGTGGTACGAGATTTGTGAGCCCTTGAGACTAGAGAGATTGATGACTGAGGTGGGCCTGAGAGGCGAGGTGTGAGCGTTATTGTGGATGGGGCTACAAGCCACAACAGATCTTATTGGCTTATTTATTATCGTGGATCGAGTTGCACGCCGCAGCTGGCCTTATAGGCTTTATATTAGCACTTGGGCAGGATCTGCCCCTTCAGAATCTGACATTCCAGTAATGAGCGCAGACAATGATATATATACACGTGCGTTGGTGAGGGACATTGATGCCAGGCACCCGTATAATGCTGAGTGATTATGTGTATTGTTTGTGCAGGGACTTGGCCAAAAAATTGAGTATTCTGAGAGTGCGAGTACTTGAGAACACCACCGTGAAATCATACATGTGACATGCGTATTGACATGTAGGCATAGAGATGTACCATTCCTCATGCTAGTTGTACTTGATATATTCTTGTGAGTGTTGGACTTTAATTATTGAACTTGAAAGCATGTCTAAATTTCCTGTAACCTAAACGAGCTGATTTTGAAAATTAATCTGAGTTGTTTATTGTTACTGCCATTATTATACATGTGTTGTCATTTTACTAGATTCATATTGTCTTCTTCTGAGCTCGTCATTGCTTTCAGCCCAAAGTTCGTTATGTTACTTATTGAGTACATGGGGTCGGTTGTACTCATACTATGCTCTAAACTTCGTGTGCAGATCTAGGTAAATCGGGACGTGGTGTCTGCTACATCTGTGCTAGTACCTGCTTGGAGACTTCGAGGTAGCTGCTATGACATCCATAGACATTGACTCTCTTTCCGGTTATTTTCTTCAGTATTGTTCTGTCACTCAGACAGTTGTACTAGAGTTTCAGTTTATGTTGATACTTAGTGGTGCTCATGTACTCGTTGACACCAGGTTTTGGGATGGTTGTAGTGGTGTTCCAGTTTCTTTTATCAGAAATTTATGTTATTTCCTCTCTTCAGTTTATTACTGTCACGACCCTAAACCCAGACTCGGTCGTGATGGTATCTCTCGTGAAGACAAGGCCAGCCGACACAAACCCCAAGTTTAGTTAACAGATATAAAGATTCATAATCAAGTCATTAATAATGATAAATCCCAAAATAAAGTGAAATATATCAACTGCAGAAAACAAAACACAGCCCGACATCGGGGTATCACAAGTCAGGAGCATCTACTAAGGTCTGAACATAACTAAGAATCTAAAATGTACTACACACAGTCTAAGGAGGACAAGAGGGAGAAAAGCAGTGCTGCGGACGCCGGGCAAGCTACCTTGCTAACTCCGATGACTCTGCCACTGAGCAACCAACACCCGCTACCGGGTTCAAAATAGTACCTGAATCTGCATACAAGGTGCAGGGAGTAATGTGAGTACGCCAACTCAGTAAGTAATAAAAGAAAATGAAAGCTGAGCAGTTAGAAAACACGTAAGCCACGTCATAACGTTACAGCAAATGCAGTACATTTCCAAACCAGTACAGAAATCATTTACTTCGTAAATCATGCTCAATTTCAGTAAAAACCTTTTAAAACAACTTTCAATAGTTTCAAAACGAGTGATAAAAACAGTGAGTAAAAATGATAGAAACGTAAACAGCCCCTCGAGCAAAACATGTACCATAAAACTCCCCTCGGGCATAATATCAATAGAACCAGCCCCTCGGACTACCTCACAGTCACTCGTAATCAGCCCTCGGGCATATCATGAATCAAGAACCGCCCCTCGGGCAAGATAACCCGAGAACAGCCCCTCGGGCTTCAATATGAAACAACAACGGCTCCTCAGGCTACAACACATCACATACACTGGGTACCCGCGCTCATTGGGGGTGTACAGACTCATGGAGGGGCCCCTTACGGCCCAAGCACAATAATAAGCCATATCGTGGCATAATCAACAGGCTCTCGGCCTCATATCAATCACAAGCCACCTCGTGGCATAATAAATCAGGCACTCGGCCTCTCATATATCACAGTCGGTACCACATGCTACGGCGCGCAGCCCGATCCCATAGTATCCTGACAACACAGGCCCTCGGCCTTACTCAGTCAGAATCTCACAAGCCAAACGGGCAACAGTAAAACATGATGCTTAGCTCAAAATATCTTTTAAAATATCATTTAAGGTGTTTAAAAACAGAGTAAACATGGCTGAGTTTTGAAAATAGTAAAATATAGCATGACTGAGTACCAGTATAAAGTCAAAATAGTGAGGAAATGGCAGTAACAATCCCCTAAGGGTCCAAACAATCGGCACAAGGCTCGAACACGGCATTTAGCCCCAAACACAATAATATTTTCCAAGATATAACAATATCCAATAGTTTTCAAGTAAAATACGCGACCTAATAGTCGTACGGGTTGGACGAAGTCGAAATCCCCAACGATGCACGACCCCACGCTCGTCATCTAGCGTGTGCGTCACCTTAAGGTAGCACAACGTGTGAAATCCGGGGTTTCATACCCTCAGAACAGTATTTACGGTCATTACTTACCTCTATCTGGTCCAAACTCTAGCCCGCTATACCTTTGCCTCTCGAATCGGCATCCGGATGCTCCAAATCTAGCCAAAAACAGTTTCATGCCATCAATATATGCTAAGGGAACAAAGCCCACTCGAAAACAATTGAAAAACAATGTGAATCCCGAAATTAATCGAACCCGACCCCCGGGCCCACGTCTCAGAATTCGATGAAATTTACATCAATATATTCCTTATCTCCCCGCGAGTTCATACATATCAAAAGTACCAAAATCCGACCACAAATGGCCCCTCAAATCCTCAAGTCAAGGTCTCCAATACCAAGCCCTAGTTTTGTAACGACCCGGCCGGTCGTTTTTGGAATTTACGCCCCGATCCTCCATTAACTGCTTCCCCTAAGTTCATTTCTGCTATTTTGGTTTGCCGGGGCATTCGGTGTTGGGATTCGGAGTGTTTTGGGACACTTAGTCCCTAAATGAGAGCTTAAGAGTTGAAAAATGGTCCGTAATCGGAACAGTGTGAAGACGACCTCAGAATGGAAATCTGATGGTTCCATTAGCTCCGTTAGGTGATTTCGGGGTTGGGAGCGTGTTCGAAATGTATTTTGGAAGTCCGTAGCTCATTTAGACTTGAAATGCCGGAGTTTGTATTTTTGAAGTTTCCGGTCCGATAGTGAGTTTTTGATCCGAGGGTCGGATTGGAATTCCGAAAGTTACAATAGTTCCGTCATGTCATTTGGGATGTGTGTGCAAAATTTCAGGTCATTCGGACGAGGTTTGGTTAGGTTTTTGATCGAAAGCGTGTTTGGTTGGAATTTGAGGTTCTTAGACTTGAATCTTTGATTAATTCGGGTTTCCAGCATTGTTTTAGGTGTTTTAAGGATTGGTACAAGTTCGAATAAGCTATTAGGTGGTATTGGTGCTTTTGGTTGAGGTCCTGGGGGCCTCGGGATGATTTCGGGTGGTTGACGGAAAATTTTGAAGTTGAATGAATTGCTGAAGGTTCTGTCATCTGGTATTTCCGCTTATGCAGCTTGGGAAGCGCAGAAGCGGAGCCGCAGAAGCGGCTAGACCACCGCAGGAGCGAAATTCGAGTGCTTCTTCAGTTTCCGCAGGTGCGGAAGTTTAACCGCAGAAGCGGTTACGCACCTGCGAGATGGTAGTCGCAGATGCGGTCCTTGGAATTTTGTTTGAAACCGCAGAAGCGGTAATGAATCCGCATAAGCGGCAACCGCAGGTGCGGTGAAGGGCCGCAGAAGCGGAAA